CAGCAGCAGGCAGTTGACAGAGAAGCACATCTCGTCAGTGCTGCAACACATTTTTGCTATAACAAAATGAAACAAACCTAAAATTGTACAAGTACTTACCATTTGGATGAAACATTTTAGAGACAAATCTAACAGTAGGTGGCTTATTCGGATATTCTTCTGTGAATTCTATTGTAAGTTTGAAAGTTCCTGGAGTTGAAAGAGAGACAAGTAACCTTTATTCAGATGATTTTACACAAAAGATGACTAAGTAGCATCCTTCCACAAGAACAAACTGATAGCACTGTGCTCACCCATGCATCTTGGATATGGAATACAGATTGCTCAGCCTTACAGTGATCCTTCTACTCCCTTTGGAGTTAATCATGAACTTGGAAGTGCTAGACAGTACTGCTGTATCTCCTGTGACTTCCTTCTAGTGACAAACCCACCACCCCAGTCAAAGGGTTTATGTAAAGAAATAAATCTGCCCTTGAGGTCTTCTTTCACAAAGCCTAATCCCTGTGCACTGTAAAAACACCACAAGTGGGTGTACAACCATCTGTGCAACAGGCTGTGATTTAGTAACTCCTCGAGAGTGGATATGCCATCACAAGGCTCTTCTAAGATATTTCCTGTTTAAATTTCAAGCAAATCCATCTTTTATAAACAACTGTAAGATAATTTGGTCTTATTGGAGTAAAGCAGTATTGAAAGCAGCACCCCAACCAGAGACTTTAAAAGGAAAGTCTGAGCATTAACCTCACAGCAACCACTCTTCCTTTGAGAGAGGCTGATTAAGCAAAAACAGAAAACAGCAATTAAGTTCCAATCCAATCATTTTAACAGGCTGCACCAACAAAAGTTATCTTAGCCCCTCTCCTCGGGCTATGACAATCTGAGAGCAAGAAGTCTGCCAGCAAAGCTGCATACACCTGGTCCAAGGGGCCGAGCACTGCCGGTGACTGGCAGCAGTGCCGAGACCCCCGCAGGGGCAGCTCCTGTCGCAGGCGCTGCCTCACACCGGCCCCCAGGGGGCCGCCCATGAGCAGCTCCCTGCAACGGCCCAGGCCCGCGGAGGAGTGGCTGCAAACTGCCTGCTGGAAGGGATCCAGGGGTGCTGGTGGGCAGCCACCCGAACGTGAGCCTGCAGTGTGCCCAGGTGGCCAAAAAGGCCACCAGCGTCCTGGCCTGGATCAGAACTGGTGTGTCCAGCAGGAGCAGGGAAGCGATCGTGCCCTTGGACTGTACTGGGGAGACCACACCTCGAGTACTGGGTTCAGTTCTGCGCACCACAGGATAAGAAGGCCACTGATGTGCTGGAGCAGGTCCAGAGAAGGGCAATGAAGCTGGTGAGGGGTCTGGGAAACATGGCCTGTGAGGACCAGCTGAGGGACCTGGGTTTGTCCAGCCTGGAGAAGAGGAGGCTGAGGGGAAACCTTACTGCACCATACAACTACCTGAAAGGAGGCTGGAACGAGGTGGGCATTGGTTTCTTCCCTGAGGTTACCAGTGATGGGACAAGAGGAAATGGGCTGAAGCTGCACCAGGGTAGGTTTCAATTGGGTATTAGGAAGAATTTTCTTCCTGAAAGAGTGGTGAGGCATTGGCCCAGGCTGCCCAGGGAGGTGGTGGAGTCACTGTCCCTGGGGTGTTCAAAACACATGCAGATGTGGTGCCCTGCAACATGGTTCAGTGGTCACAGCAGTGTTGGGTTAGTGGTTGGACTTGGTTATCTTTTCCCACCTTAATGATTCCACGATTCTAAGCTCCCAGGTACGCCCAGAGAGAAACATCTGAAGCACCTCCATACAAACACAGCGCTCTCCTGTCACAGGACCACACCTTACAGCAACAGCCCTAACAAGCTGCCAGGACAGGCATCACCTTTGTGAAAGGGCATCTTTACAGGTCAGTGACAGCTCCCACCCACCATCCCAAACACCCAGTGCCAAAATTAAAACCCAGGGGCTCAGATATAAAGCTCATCCTTGCTTCCTACTGTGAGGGAGTCTTCCAGCACTAACATAATTCATGTATTCCTTTGTTTGGCTGGCAAACATGTGCCAACAGCTAGTGGCCAGAGAGCAGATCTTTCAACCCCTTCCCTGTCCAGATCAGGAAGGACCTGCAGTATTTCCCAGGGACTCCTTCCTTTATAAGGGAACTGTAACACTGAGCTGCAAGAAATGAAGGTCATTGCTGTGACGTTCCAGTTTGCGTATGAAGACACAATACAGATGCTTCAGAGCTTTCTGAACAGCAGTGGGAAGTCTGAACATCCTAAAAATAAGTTTGGGCATGTTTGGTTTTTATGAGCAGCCTGACAACATAAGAGCAGAGCCAGCGGCATGCTGTTGTACTGTAAAACAAAAGGAGCAGGAGGAGCATAGTTGAGATTGCTCAAATTAGCAGAAGGGTGCAGCAGGGCTCTCAAGTGTTACTCCAGCTAACGCAGAGGCCCAGAGTCAGACCTGAGACCAGTTTGAAAGCCAGCACTGGCGAGTGAGTAACAACTTCCACCAGCTGGGAACACCAGCTCAGGACAACCTTTCCTTCCCTGCACAGTGACAACCCCAAGCAATACTGGCCCTTCAGAATCAAAAGGTTAGAGACTTGATTCAAAACCTGAAGAGATTCCCAGCAACCCCTGCCCCAGTTCTGGTTCTCAGTAGCCTCCTTATGAGGCAGGAAAGCAGGCTCTTTATTCTGTGAAGAGTGACTAAGCAAGCAGTAGGCTGAAAGCAGAGTGCAAACCATCAAATAGAGTTCAACAAGCACACTTGAGAAAACAAATGCTATTCTACAACACTGACTGAAGTGGAAACTATGGGGAGATGGCCAAAGAGCAGTAAGAAGACCAGCTGCATCTTAGAACCCATTTAAAACTACCAAAAGAAAGGGAAGCCACCTGTCCCACCAGGGGCAGGACAGCACTGCCTTTAACACCCGCCTGAGCGAGTGGTCAGACAGCAGCTGGAGCACCTACCTACTTCAGTTTCCAAGCCCTGACCCCGAGCAGCAGTGGCTCCTTGAAAGAGCTCCACAGTCCACACCACCTCACTGTCCAGCTTCACGGAGGGACAAACTCAGAGACTCAACAAATCCAAGTCCAAGGGTCACTCATGCTGAAAGCCCCAAGTGAAATAGGTACCACAACACACCTGCCTGGGGATAAGGCCCTCAACATCCAACCTCTTCTGGCTAATTTTAAAGTTTCCAACTGGTATTCCTTGCAACTTACCCTACACAGCCAATTTGAAAACACCAATGATCTATTTGCTATCATTATTGACATCAGGATCACCACTGATCTTGGGGGAACACTGTCTTGTCTCTCTTGTGCTTACCTTTTGCTGCCCTGTTTCTCCTCCCTGGGTACGTGAGGCTCTCACAGGGAGGCTTCTCCATGACCCGTATGCTGGCCCAAGTTACACCCCCCTCCCCTGGCAGCACCCCTGTCCCTGCTGGGCCCTGCTCACTGCAGCTCCCTCAGTTCTGTTGTCCATAAAGGACGGATGAGCCTCTCCTGCATGAGGATACAGAATCCATACTCCTTAAGCCAGGAAGGCAAGTGCCTTGCTTCCTCCTGCAGGACCACAGTAAGGCAGAAGAGAGAGTTAGTTAACTCTCTCCAAGCCAGGAATCCTGCACTCACCACAATGTTGTCACCTAGCTTCAGAGAAACAGGTCTGAAGGACTGGGAGAGCCTGAGTTTCCATCACTGTGACAGCACTGCCACTTTAGATGTCACACACACAGAGCCTCAGAAATATGGTGAGGGGCAGGATAAATATCCCCGGGGTCCTACTGCAGGCACCTGCAATTGAATCCTCTCCCATCAGAAGGTGGAAGTTATGCTGCTGATCCAAATTAGTAGCTGCTCCTAGGCCAAGGCAGCCTGCACACTGGGTTGTGAAAACACCCTCCCAGGTCTGGGGGCGGAGGGGAGGGAGGGCTGTCAGCTGCATTACGCTGCACAGCAAGTAAACAAACATGTCTGAATTTAAGGTTTGCACTTCAGACGAAGCTAGGAAACCTCAGAAGCTGAGGCTGGAGAAGGGCCTCACCAGAATGAGGCTAAAGAACAGCAATTCTCACAATGCTGGAATTATTACATCTCTAGTTTGACAATGACAAAGATTTCACAAGCTACTTTCACAAGAACTAAGGTCTCTGAAGCATTATAGCATCACTAGGAAGTGATAAGAGCCTAAAAACAAAAACACAAAGCCATTTCTGAAGAACACTGCCCTGCAAAGGCTTCACCAGAAGGATCCAGTGCACCTTTGACTCGCAAGGGCCTGCACAGTTACAGAACAAGCCTAAACTAACTGTTAAATTAAAATTATCTTCATCTTACCTACATAAACAGCACCTAAACTGTGCTACTCTACTCATTTAATGGAAAGCCCAGCTGAGGCACCACCATACGCTATCTCTAGGCACCACTTAGTATTTTGTTATCTAGCACAAAGTAAGGCATGTCCCAGAGAACAGAGATCAGGGTACCCTGCAACACGAGACCCCTCCTCCCGGGTGCACACTGTGGAACACACGCTTTGCTACCAGAAGAGCAATCCATCACACCCCAAGATTACATTCTGAGATCACCCCAAGCAGCAGGACAGCAGCAGCAGGCTCAAGCAATCGTTTGAACCTCAAGCTGCTGCGAGTGAAAAGTGTCCTAAGTATCTGAAACGAAGACACAACCCTGCCAGGGTGGAAAGCACAGAGGAAATCAGTATGACACAGCTCTCCAAACTCCAGCAACCAAACGAGAAGAAAAAGCTCTTATAGCATCTGTTAACCCCACACTGAGCTGGAGGAGCCTGAACACGGACACAACCTGCATTTTAACACACTGTAAGACAAGGGCTTCTGCTCCCAGCAGCAAATCACTCTGTTAGTGGCAGTGCACCAAGAACCTAACCAGCTCTAGCAACCCTCACAGAAGTTTAAGGGAGCCCTTCTTTAACGTTTAGAAGGCAACATAATACATTTCACCTCTCTGCTCTATTCCATGAGGTTATGGAATACTCAAGTTCTAAACATTTGACTTTTGAAGCAGCTACTATAGCAACCTTAACCAGCATTCTCAACCAAGATTAAAAAAAAACCCTAACTGGAGTCTTTGGCATTTTCTTAGGATTGAAATATTTAAAATCTTCACAGAAAAAAAAAAAAAAAATCTGCAATTTACAGGCATGCCCACAGGTGCTGCCTCCGAGGATAAACAGAGACAAAGGAGTTAGCCAAGAACAACATAAGAGTTAAGGAATTTTTCCTATGCTTTTGTCATGAGTCATTGAGATCTAGGATTAATTATAGCCTGCACTGAAAGTATCTTAAGGAAAAAAAAAAAAAGCATCACTGATTTCAGTTAGACAGTATTTCATGCCTAACAAGTTTTCACAAAGATGCTGAAGCTTTCAGAGCACACTGGTAAAGCTGTAAAATACAATAAGACCAGATGGAAACCAGCAGGGCACACATACATTACAAGTGCCTATTCAGTCAACTTTTAAAGGTAAAAAGACCTTTTAATCTTTAACCTTGAATGATTCCGATTGTAGCAGAGTGAAGCAGATGCCAAAAAAAAAAAACAAAACTGTTAAGAAATCTGTTCTGAACTTCTGAACTTTCTCAGCCCTTCCTCAGCCATTCAGCCCATTTCCAACTTCAGCTGACTTACATGGGGACTTACCCAAACACTTCCAGCATCAGAAAAAACAGAACCCAAATAACAACAGTTCTACACCAGGTTTTGACAGTTCTCCAAAGATGAGTGTCCCTAAAAATATGACCCAGGGTTCAACAGAAAAGTTGGGAGGTCTTTTAAAACGGCACACTGAATTAGGCTTAGAACAGGCAGGTTTAGCAATTACAAGTAAGCCCCTGTAAGCTAATTTCTATATTTCTGTAAATCAACATAGCAGTCTAAATCTACACCACTTCCTCATTAACCCTAACCTAAGTAGGGTTAAAACAAAGATTTACGTCAGAGCAGCACACAGACGTGTGGTCAGATGTACCTGCACCCACGGCCCTTCTGCGTCCCCAGGCTCACACCTGTTGCAAAGTCCACGGCCATAGCACACCGCGGCCGTGCCAAACGGCAGCCGTTTACCCCCAGAAAGGCAGACACCGGCCCGACACGGAACCGCACTTACCGTCCTCGAAAGGGGTCCCCTCGGGCCTAGAGGAGGGAAGAAGCAGACAGAGTGTTACCGGGCGGCAGCCCAGCTCTCGCCCCCTCGCAGC